GTTTCTCCTATCTTGCACAAACCATTGATCAAAGTCCCGTAACTAAACTCGTTCAGTAGAAATCCTTGTGCTACTACCTTGTCACGAAAGGTAAGTGCTTTCTTGACCTCACCATTGAGACAGAGACCTTTCATGAGGGTATTTAAGGTTATGACACTTGGATGATAACCTCGTTTGAGAATCTTGGCAAGAATAGAGAAAGAGAAGGGCATCTGGCCTAAGTGGCAGAAACAATTGATGACGATGTTGAGAATGACAAGATGACTCTTAATTCCATTGAGCTCCATTTGCTTAAAAAGGGAAATAGTTGTAGAATAGTGTTTCATCCTTGTAAGAGATCCCAAAATCTGCCCAAATGCGTAGATGGGAGGAATAGGACGCATATGAAACATGCGACGAAATTGAGAGACGACGTCGTGAACATTGTCATGGTCAGGTGAAGGAGGCTGAGAGTGATAGTGTAAGTGAAAGGAAGAGAAGGAAGAAGGGTTTGGAAGAAAAGGATAAAACTTGGACATGGAATAAGAAAGACATAACCTTAATTTTGGTATTGGGAGTGACATTGTTTAGGTTAAAGATGAAGAGGAGTGCAATGCTGTCGGGAAACAAAAGATTGGGTTTGTTGCTCTTGGCTTCTCTCAATCCTTCATATTCTATTTTTTAAAAGTTTGTGCATTGTCTAGGGTTCATACTTATTTTTATATATTTATAATAAATAGTTTTAGTTTATGAACAATATTATAATTGAAATATATAAAAAGATGTTTTTAAGAATATTTATTATATTTTATATTCGTAATTGATAATTTATATTATGATATACAGTTACTTTTAAATTAACCTAAAATTGATAGTCAAGAGAGAAATGATATATACTGATAAAGAAAATAGATAAATAAATTAGATAAGTATTATTGGATTAAATGTTCACTGGGTGAAAAGCTTATTGATAACTTAAAACAAAACCATCGTGGAGACAACTCTACAAAAAACTGAAACTGTGAAATGGAAGTCTATCTAAATGGAACTGTGTATATACTAGCTATTGGTTTAAAGAAGCAAAACAATTGAAATAAGGGAACTCATTTATAACATATGTGTAAAAGATACTTTTAATTATTAGGGAAACTCATTTATTTATTTTTTTCACTAAATTTGTTTTCTTAACAAACATATGTATTCTCTAAATTCCAATCGAAGTTGTTTGTTATGTTCGGAGTGATTTAGAATTAGTCTACTAAAAGCATTTTCCCTTGTTTTTATCACAAATCAATTTTCACTCGTTACAAATAACTCTAATATGAAAACATAAATAACGAATTTTCTTGTTTGTTAAGGTTAATGTAGTGATCAGAATTCGTTTACACTGATATTGTTCTTTGTTGCGCTTAATATTTATGAGTTTGATTACTTTATATTTGATTAATGAAGATTTGATTCACATTTTAAAATATTTTACAATGTTTATGTGAAACAATTGCTAAAATCTAAAAAATTATTTAATATTATTGTATCAAGAGTAAAAAACCATTGCTTCCTCGTACCTTTTCTCAACCAAACACTCACCCACCCCTCTCCCCATAAATCCAAAACCCTAATCATGATTATTGTTACGATAAACAAAACCCTAATTATGATTGGCGTGACATTAACGCAAATGATAAACCTTATTGGATTCCACTACTTTACTACTTGCTTAGTTTTCAAGTGTTAGTTGACCAATGCAAACCATTCTTCACGGTTTATATCCATCCTTCCTTTAATTCAAATTCAATTTACAAGTTGAGAGATTCTATGAAATAAATATTCAGAACTGTTTTCTATACCTTTTTTCTCTGATAAAAGAAATTAACCAACCCAGAAATTTTAAATTTGTGATTGATTCTCAGCACTTTGCCATTGAAACCTTGAATCTTTCTGTCATTTATAAAGATGTGATACAAATATTTGAACTCTTCAAACTTTTAGTCAAATCATTGGACTAAAATACAATATAGGTTGGTCCATAATAAATCTAAAAAAGAAAAAGAAAAACTCATCAAAGATCACAGCACCAAAAATGGAATCATGGAAGACCAATTCTTCAAAATTGAATTCATACTTTTCTTCTTTTTCTTAAACCTTCAAAATTGAGAAAGCTTCAAAGATCAATTCAAATTTGAGAATCCTTGGATATCAACAAAACCTCCTCGAAGCTCTAAATACATAAATTTTAAGAAAGAACCTTGGATATCTATATAATATATCCAATAATATTATTATTATTGTTACTATTTACACAAAATGAGAAAATAAAATGGAGAATATATCTAAATGCCTAAACAAAAACAGAGGAAAACAGAACAGGAACAGGGGAGGCAAACAAAACCTCCCTCTTCAACCTGTGTACACCAACACACTAATCCAAAACCCTGCACCATATTCTCACCCTATGACTCACCAACCGAAATGGGTTGGCCGGAAATTCCCAACGGCGACCGGGAAATCTGCCGGCTAATTTCACGAAGAACATGTCTGATCTCTGGTTTGCCAGGGGACCAATCAACAATTTCCTCTGACTCCTGCTTGATCTTCCTTACCTGGCTGTGAATTGGAACACCCTTTTGTGCAAATCTTTCATCCTTGTTCATCTTCATGTTCTCCATGTTCTGTATCAATCAAAGAAAAGAGCTTCTCCCGAAAATGTTTCTTAGCTATCCTTCTAACTCTGTTTCTCTACACGTGACAATCTACAATCTACAACACCAAAAACACTTCTCATGGACCATACAACAGAAGTGTGTCTATCTATATATATATATTTGTGAGTGTGAACTCAAAGGGAATTCAAGATTGAAACGTAAGGGAGAAGAGAACAGGGAAGTTTGGTGGGAAATCTCTATCTTTATGGGATTGGTTTTTTGAAGATGACTAAATTGGACCGTGTCGTTGACACTATACACCTCACCGTGACCAAAGATTTTGCTAAGGCTCTTCCTGTCCGTTGGATTGGTTTGATGGGGTCAATCTTGTGGCAACTCATGTGGGAAACTAGAAACTACTTTAATATATAATTATGCATTGTGCTGTTTTGAAGTTGTGAATGTAACTTTTTATGTCACGTTTGGTTCGTTTTTTGGGTCTGATGCATCATGAAGTTCTGTTGAAAAGGTTGCATAATATGTGCTGTTTTTGTTCCTGTTCCTGTCAACTTCTCATATATATATATATATATATATATATATATATATATATATGCGTGTGTGTATTTTTTGTGGATGGGTCGATCATGGTGCTATATGGCCATAATCAAATGGATAATTATCAATATATCCATTCGGATTTGATTCCTTTTCTTACCAGTTGCCAAATTGGATGATGGCTTTGCATTAATGCTATGCCACGAGTGGTCATTTTCTTTTGCCAGTAAAAAATAATAATAGTGAACGGTCAATATCACAATAATAATAATAATAATAATAATAATAATATGAAATTGAGTTATAGTTCTGTGTGTTGAAATATAATAAAATAAAATAAAATTGAGTATATTCATAGATAGGGTCAGAGTTTGACCACTTACCACTGTTTTGTTCATTTGTGTCTGTGAGTTGGAGTTCTAATACCAAATGCAAAGTTTCTATTCCAAAACTTGAAAAGTTCACATTTTGACGATGGATTTTAGGTTGAGTCAATCTAATTTAATTCATTTATTAATAAATTAAAAAATTACAATTTTATTTAATTACAATTATAATTAAAATCACAATTACAATGAATTAATAAGTTAAATGATTAGTTCACTATTTTATTTAATTATAATTTCTTTTCAATTTAAAAAATATAATTAAAGTCTTCTAATTCAAGTGTAAATAAAAGAAAAAATTTTAAGTTAGATTAATAATCCATCAAACATAAAACTTTATTTTCATAAAAGTTTTACAAAAAAAAATTTAACAAAATTTTTAATAATTTCATAACTATTCAAATTTGTTTCTCATATGATTCCCAATAATTATAATTTTGGATATGAAAATATTTTACTTGGTGCTAATTCTTTTGAAGAGTATCTTCAATGTTTTCTTAAAAGAGCTTCTTAAGGACGAGGATCTTTCTTGTACAACTCCGTCATTCCACCGAATTGAGTTCTTGGTCCAGTGCAAGAGTGATTCCTGAAAAATAGCTTCTTCTTCACGATTTTTCTTTTAATTCATATATTGTTTTGAGTTTATTGAGATAATATGATAGAATTAATTATTGTATTTGAACCTTAAATTTTTTATTATAATAAGATGTTTTAAAAAATTAAAAAGAAAAAAGAAAAATTAAAATTGTTATTGATTTTATTTATTGAATGTATTAAAACAAGTTTATTATTAATTAAAATTAGCCACAGTCAATTTAACCTGATCAAGTGGTTGGGGACAACCCGAACAACATAAAATAATAATTTATAAAGTTTGCAAGATTAAATTTAGTTAAATATACTATAATGCCATAAAGAATCTTTAGGGTCTGTTTCAAGGAATTTTGTTACAGAATTATCAATGGTGGCTTTAGAATGAACTTCTAGAACAAGAATCTTGGCTCTAACCTCATAGGAAAAGTGAGTTGGTATTTAACGGTTTAATTATAAAGGTTTAAAATTAATTAATTAATTAATTAAACATATAGTGATTAGGAAAAAAGTTAAATAGTTAAATAAATTTTAAGACTAATTTGTATCATGAACTCTGTAATTCGAACATTGACATTTTACAATTGTATATTTGTTGAAACACAAAGCATAGACAGCAAAGAAAAAATGGGAACGAAAATAAATGCACATGATCAAAACCTAACACGTGGAAAGGAAAGTCAAAGAGATTAAGAAGAACGAGAGAGGGTACTGTAGTAATTTCGAATTGAACAGAAAAAGAAAAACACGAAATGGAACATCATGGTAGAAAAACCGAAACGGTTTTGGTGGCCGAGTCAGTTAAGTTTGTTAGAAAGAGACACGTGTAGGTGCAGGTGTTCCAGTCAACTACAAGTGTCGTGAAATTACGTATTTGTCCCGCTACTCACGTTTCTCAAAACCTTCTTTGGTCGTAGAATCAACGTTCAATATTGGTAATTCGAATTCATCCACTAATCAAAATATGCATGCCACGTGCACTTTATAAATATTCGTATTCATCCACATGACCACTACCATGCCACGTGCACTTTTTTGAGGTTGAATTTTTAGGTAACCATGATCCATAATTAAATTCAATCGTATCAACTTATGGTTCGTTCTAATATGTATTATAATAGTAGATTTATAAATTTGAGTATATCAATTTGTTAAATTTATTATTTTATTTATTAAATTAGTTTTATAAAATTGAATTAAATTTACAGTTTATTTTTTAATATTTTCAACAATGATAAAAACAACCTTACGTATTTTTGGTATTCATTTTAGAACAGAAACCAAAAATTAAGAGTATAATGATACGATTTTCTTTAAAGTCCAAGAAAATTTGAAAACAAAATAATTGTTTCGTATGTTATATAGACTAACTTATGCACAAATGAAAATTTAAAAAAGATATACTTAAAAGGTTTAAAAGTTAATTTATACCTAAATAAATTGTCCTCTATATAAAAAAATTAATTTCATTTTTTCTC